AGAGGTAACCAACACCAAGGTCATTCTTGAATGACGTATCACTGGGAAACAGCTGAACTAATTTCTGCAGAGTAATCAGGGAACCCCTCATGCGACCTGATTTGATTGAACAAGACTTAATTACAACTGCAGATATGAGTAACAGTAGCAAGGCATTTACACAACATCTAAGAAAACACAAATCAGAGCCAAGTGCTCCACTTTCACTAACGATCAAGAAGGAGAAGTTGAAAAAGCTTGTGCAGCTACGAGCACATTCAACTGCTTGCTTGTCACTGGGGTTTAGTAACACCAGGAGTATTTCAGGGAATCATTGCAAGTGCACATCACGCAGTGTTATGGTAGCCTCTTGTGGAGAACCCTTTACAGTGCAGCAGTAACATTATTTAAGCTTTGATTGCTTTATCATACACAGATATCAAAGCACTCAACATAATTAAGTAAAGATATAATAATAAACTTAATCTTAATTAAGAAATTAAATGCATTTCTAGCATTAAGTAATAGTTCTACTTTACTTCCATTACTTATCATGGAAATTTATTATGCTTTATGAGCTTAAAATTAAGTATGTTCCTCAGCTTCCTAGAAGAGGTCTTGCAAAGGAACAGAAAGAACAAAATAAGTTGATATTAAAAATCCAACCCATGAGAACAGAACTCTTTACTGTAAAGTTGATTGTGCCTTATATTCTAATCAGCATTTCTCATATATCACGAATTGAGATCTAAACCTACAATCTACACCAATGTTATCTCCAAGTTCACTTCCACTCTTCTCTGTTTACTGAAAGTTTATTCAGGATATGTTTACTCTGCTTATGCCATTAATTCCCTCTTGATTTTCTTCAGCTTCAGTAGAAAAGGAAGACTTTCTTCTTTCCTTGTCAATAAAAACTGACACTTCTCATCATATCTTCTCGTAGCATTTACTGCAGCTTTCTACAGGCACTATTATCCTACAAGCAAATTATAGACACCAGTTTCCTAGAAAAAATTTCAATAACTTTTTTTTCTTTAGCATTTCAGATATTAGGAGGACAAGGCCTATGAAAAATTCAATGGAATTGGCATTTTAAGTCCTTAGTGACCTCTTGAAAGTCTTGCTCACACAACTTCCATAATTTTTACACCACCCTCAAAACTTACCAAGGAACTGCTGCCTGTCTGCTTCTCGTTTCAAGCTGAGCTTTATCAGATCTGAAGGGACATTTGGCAGACTAACCACCTCATCGTAGGTGTTGATAGCTTGTTGCAGCATCTCATTGCTTCTCATTTTCTCAGCTAAGTCATCTTCAGACTAGGAAGAATCACAAAACCATAATTAGAACACATAATAATTCGTTAGTCTTAAAAATAACTGGGAAGACACATTAGAATTATCTAATGTTCTTGTTTCCTACAAATTGTTTGAAAGCAGAAGTACAAGAAAACTTGCACCTAATGTAAACATACATTACCACAGATTTTTGACTAATATTTGTAGAATTCACAATTTATGCTTTCAAAAATACATGAAGCAATCTCTTTAATAATATGGAAGAAATGCTAAATTTTGCCTATGGACCATTTGTATACAAAGCCTCACTCTTGCAGCAATACACAGATCAACAAACATTTCTTTCATCTATTCTGACAAATTTATTTACACTCTTTCTTAGAAAATGAATTAGGAATTGCCTTTCCTCTTGCATATGTTGATAGAATATCTACCCTACACCTCTGTCAAAACTTAAACTGGCTCATCAAATTCAGAAGCAGACCAAAGGATATATGAGCTCTCTACAGTGAAATTACAGTTTCAGTGAACCTAAGAGAAGCTATAACTGATTTCACCTGTCGTAAGGCATTTTCATAATCTGCTTCAACAGCTGAAAAAGTAAGATTATGTCTCAAATGCAGAATTTTTAAAGGTTTACTTTAAATTTTTTATATAAATGCATGAATTTTCATGTGTTTAATGCATCCTTCCCAAATACTTCTATATTTATTGGCTTATGTTCTTTTTTAAGTCAATTTGCAGAGCATGGTGAGCACTACAGGTGCAGAAGCAGCTCTTGATAGTCTATTTAAATTCACATATGCATTAATTGAAACTGCTTCAACTGTGTTTGCTGCATATGCTGTAGCAAGTACCTGGAATCTTCTTGCCCTTCTGTCCTTTAATTTTTTTTCCTTGAGTTGCTTTGAAATTGAGTATGTGAAGCACCAACCCATATGGTTACTCGGCCAAACAGTTCATCAAGCAGCCTTCAGAGATACCTCCAGAAATCAGTTTTAAACAATAATTATTTTTTCTGATGTACATTCACTAGGAAATTTGACTTTCCTTTTTTCAAGGACAAAGATTTGCTTTGCTGTGCATCAAGTGCTTGTGTGACAGTATTTTGGATATTTAGCATGACTTATTAACCAACTGAAAACTGGTTGACTCCAATTCAAGTGCCTGAGTAATTGTCTAACAGCACAATTCCTTCCTACAGTGAGGGCTTCATTTTGTTCATCTTGATTAACATGAATTCGAGTCTTTTTTATTCCTAGTGCAATAGGATTATTCTACTATTAATGAAAATTAATGCAGAGTTTATTTTATGCTGTATTTTGGTTGACTTTTTTTTTTAGGGGGAACACCTGAAACACAACTCCCCCCCCCCCAAAAAAAAAAAAAAAAAAAAAA